GGTAGATAGTTGAATGTCATAGTTGCACATCCTTCTAGTTGCTGTATGTGGGATGCCACCTCAGCATGGCCGGAGAAGCGGTGCGTTGGTGCGCACCTGGGATCCGAACCCGGGCTGCCAGTAGCGGAGCCCGGGCACTTAACTGCTAAGCCACGGGGCCGGCCCCAATATATATCTATTTTTTCATATAATTTCTGTAGTATATTTGTGATTGATTTAACATTGTTGTTTGCTAAATATAATTACTCGGTCATCTGTGTGTCAGCTTCTATTGACTTATGTTTTCTCTTGATTATGCATCAGATTTTCCTGATTTTTTGGTATGTCTCGTTTTTTTTTTGGTGAGGAAGATCAGACCTGAGCTAACATCTGTGCCAGTCCTCCTCTTTTTGCTGAGGAAGACTGGCCCTGGGCTAACATCCATGCCTATCTTCCTCCACTTTATGTGGGATGCCTCCACAGCATGGCCTGACAAGTGACGCATCGGTGCGTGCCCAGGATCCAAACCCGGGCTGCCAGCAGTGCAGCGCGTGCACTTAACTGCTGTGCCGCGGGGCCGGCCCCCTGTCTTGTTTTTTTAATTGGATTTTTGAACATTTTATTTAAAAAACAGTGGGGAGTGAAATGTACTATTTTTTGTTTGTTTCGCTCCATATAGAGTATAAGCCCTTTTCTCTGTTTAGGGTGAGGGGCTAAGTCATATTCCTCCTAGAATTTAGTTCAGCTGGTACTGGGCTGCAATCTTAGATTCAGTTCATCTGTTATTGGCTCAGCCTTCTGAGATGGTTCCTTTTTTATCCTGACAGTTTTTCAGCTGGCAGGGATTTGGCTTTAGTTTAAGATACTATTGGTTTACTTTTGGATCCTGGAATTTATTCATTGGGAAAATGCCTGGGATTACCATCTTCTCCTCCGTGACTACCTTCTCCAAAAACTTGGAGGGGGTGTGTTGTAGAGTGAGTAGTGTGGGAGAATTGCTGGACCAAGGAATCTGTTTTTGTGTTAGGACTGTTGTCTTCAGTCCATCCTGCTACCTCACACTGTTGTCTACAGTCTAGCTAATTTCTGCTTTCCTGATAAAATGTATTTATCTAATGGCACATTCACCTGTATCTAGACTAGGTGCCTACCCCAAGGTAGGGAAGCTGCATAGTTCTCTCCTCATTTATGAATGTTCCATTTTCCCCCTTCTGGAATTAAGTTCATCAAGGCTTCTTTGCATCTACCGCTCTTCCATAGCCCATAGAAACTGTCTGTTACCATGGGAGTGAAGGCCTTTCTTGTTCTACATCCTAACCTTTGGGAATGAAATTTCTCTTCAGTAATTTTTAGTTATATTAGGCTACTCATTGAAGTCCCAAAATCTTTTGACTGCTTATCAGCCAGTCTTATTTATATCGTTTCTGCTGAGAAATCTGCTGAAAGCCTGATGGAGGATCCTTTGTAGGTTATTTTCTTCTGTCTTGCTGCCCTTAATATTATTTCTTTGTCATTGACTTTTGACAGTTTTAATATTATATGCCTTGGAGAAGGTCTTTTGGATTGATGTAATTAGGATTTCTGTTAGCTTCATTTGCTCACATGTCCAGTTCTTTCTGCAAGTTTGGGGAGTTTCTTAGCTATTATTTCTTTGAATAAGCTCTTGGCTCCGTTCTCCCTCTCTTCTCCCTCTGGGATACCTATAATCCTTATGTTAATTTTCCTAATTGCATTGGATATTTCTCAAAGAATTTCTTCCTTTTTTAAAAGTCTTAGTTCTTTCTCCTCCTCCACCTGAATCATTTCTATATTTCTGTCTTCGAGCTCCCTAATTTTCTCCTCCGTTAAGGTCTGCTCTCTTTTTTATGCTTTCTACATTATTTTTTATATCATTAATTGTGTTTTTCATATCCAGAATTTCTGTTTGTTTTTTTTTTTTTTTAGAGCTTCAGTCTCTTTGGTGAAGTATTCCTTCTGTTCATTAATTTTATTCCTGAGCTCATTGAACTGTCTTTCTGGGTTTTCTTGTAACTCCAGTTTCTTTATGACTGCTATTTTGAATTCTTTGTCAGTTAGATTGTGTAAACTTCTGTGACTTCAGATTTGGTTTTTGGAGAGTTGTCATCTTCCTTCTATTCTGCAGTGTTACTGTAGGTCTTCATGGTGTCTGTCAAATTAATCCTCTGCTGGTGCATTGTGATAGTAATCACCTTCTCTTACTTGGGTATGGCTTTGGTTACTTTGGTTCTGGGCACCTGGGTCTTGTTTTCCTCCACTGACTCTCTGTGGGCTCAGATGCTGTTGTCCTGTGCACCACCTATGTTGCTATTCCCCAGTTGTCTGGGGGTGCTGGTTGAACTGCTGCCAAGGATTCTTGGTTCACAGGTGTTGCTGTTGCTGGTGGGGGCCTGGGAACGTAGGGACTTGTATGCAGCCCCCACTGCTGGTGGAGTTGGTGCCGGGCGTGCCAACACTAGGGGCTGGGCGCTTCCGCCCTATCTGCTTGCAGTTGTGCAGGTTGGGCCACTGCCTCTGCTGCCACTACACTGACGATTGTGGGGTGGGGCTGCTGTGGTGCTGCCATTGCTGCCCCTCAGGGGTTCATATGTGTGTGCGCACACTGGCTGCTGCTGCTGTGGGGTGTTCGTGGGTGCACAAGGGGCTGCCGCTCACCACTGCTGCTCGGGTGTTCACGTGTGTGCATGTGGGGTCACCACCACCGCCCCTGGGGGCATTTGTGCACATACAGGGGGCCACCGCTCTGGTGTTCACACACAAGGGGCCACTGCGGCAGCCTCCTGGGTGTTCGTGCATGTGGGGCTGCCACCACCCCACTGGTGTTCAGGTGTGCAGGGCTAGGCTGCCCTCGCCTCCAGTCACAGTCATGAGGGCCACTGCATGAGGATCCATGTCCTGGGTCACTGCTGCTGGGAGTAGGGGAGGGGGCTGCTCTCTTAGTTCTACTGCTTCCCCCTGGAGTCTAGTCCACCCACCTTCAGATGTAAAGCTGCCTGGATCTCTTAGGTGTCTTGTTATGATGTGTGGGGAATCCTCTGTTGGTCAATGGATGTCTATTTGGTTGTAATTTAGAGGGGAGAGACAAAGGGAACCTCTTAACTCAGCCATGATGCTGGTGTCACTCTCCCTTATCCATATGGATTAATATTTACCTTCCTTCTATTCTATATCTAGGTCTTAAAACAAATAAACTTGATTACTGTATCTCTTAAGTTGAGACTTTCTGCTTTTGTTGATTAAATTCTGCATTTTTGTCATAATTAAAAATTCCTGACACTTGCCAAAAGAAATAGAAACTTAACAGCATAGTTTATCAAAATTATAAATAGATTTATTTGAGCCCTATTGTGTTCTGACTAGCATGATTTTTTGAAATCTCAATATATGAAAATTTAAGATTTTAACTTATAAATTTGAGAATGAATCTTCATGGTGTAGGGACATGGCCAGTGCTAGTACATATGTGAAGACTTTAGAAAAAGGCGCCACCTTTGAGTAGGCTAATTGTAAAAAGTGCCCCTTCCTGCTCCAGGCTTGGTGCCTGGTTTCAGCCCCTACTTTTCCCATTGGCTGGGTGCCCTCCTACTATCTGTATAACTGTACACAGTGCATCTGAATCAGGAAAAATTTTTAGTTGCTTTCTTTTAACAGTTGAGAGAAACTATAAAAAATTACAAAGTAGGAAATTCATATAGGACCACCATTAAGAAGTATTTTTTTTCTGTTAATAAAAGTGGGATCAATTTATGCTTCTGCTTTCAACTTCTTGTTTTAACTATAAATTAGCATCTCCTGGAAAGTCTGTTACTGAATTTCTATAAAAATGTACAGAAATGTTCTATTTATTAGAAAGTCTGAGAGGGCTATTGGGGGGTAGTGGTTGGAGACAATAAAAAAACCATGCTGTTTAGAATTTGTGTTCTGGTGCTTTGCATATAACAAGGACTGAAATGTGTTGGTTGAATGTTAAAACTTCTGAAATAAGTAAAAGGAAACCCTTATGTTTATGAAAGTGGTTTATGTGTAACTTCAGAAACAAATCTATCATATGATGCGAGGTATGATATTATTAAAGCATTAGAAAATAATGCAATTTTTTTTTATAGGTATACTTCAACATCCAGATGGCACAGTTTTGAAACAGCTACAGCCACCTCCAAGGGGTCCAAGAGAGCTGGAGTTCTATAATATGGTAAGTGAGGTAAGATTTGTTTTGTTGTGTTCAAAGTGTTCTTCATAGTTTCGTGGTGGTGACTCAGTAAGAAATACATTTGAGGGCTGGCCCAGTGGCGTAACGGTTAAGTGAGCGCGCTCCACTCTAGCGGCCCAGGGTTTGGATCCCGGGCTCGCACTGATGCACCGCTTGTCAAGCCATGCTGTGGCAGCGTCCCATATAAAGTGGAGGAAGATGGGCACGGATGTTACCCCAGGGCCAGTCTTCCTCAGCAAAAAGAGGAGGATTGGCAGATGTTAGATCAGGGCTGATCTTCCTCACAAAAAAAAAAAAAGTACATTTGACAGCATGTCGTAGTATACTTTGTATGTGACTGAAACAAAAGCTTCATGAAATACAATGCTTATCTTTACTGATGCAGTCTAGTATTTTCTATTCTATTTCATTTTTTAAAGATCCTTGTTCTGATCCACTAAATTGATTTCAATTAATGAGGTGACCTACATTTTGAAAAACACTTAACTGAGAGACTATTTGTATTTCTCAGAAATGCTGAGTTTAAATAAGTGTTTTTTAAAAATTGAAGTAAATATAAAAAAAAAAAATAAGTGTTTTTACTACAGGATTTCTTAGCGCCTAAAATGTGCTAATATGCACTGTGAATCTCCAAAGTTGGGGAGGGGGAGAGGGGCATACCTAACATCTAATTAACCATGTGACTAAGGACACTTTTTAGTACGTGCTTTGCTACTACCACCTCTATCTAGTACAAAACATTTTTATCATACAAAAAAAACTCCTGGATTAGTTAAGCCACGATGCTCTATTCCTCCTTCCCCTCAGTCCCTGGTAACCACCAGTCTGCTTTCTATGAACTTACCTAATACCTTCAGGGTATTTCATATAAATGGAGTTATACGATCTGTGACCTTTTGTGTCTAGCATCTTTTGTTTAGCGTAATGTTTTTAAGGTTCATCTACATTATAGTATGCATTAGTATTTTGTTCCTTTTATGGCTGAGTAATATTCCATTATACTTACATACTACATTTTGTTTATCCATTCACCCATTGATGGACATTTGGATTGTTTCCACCTTTTGGCTTTTGTAAATAGTGCTGCAATGAACCTTCATTTATAAGTGTAGGTGTTTAAGTATAAGTATTTCTTTGAGTTCCTGTTTCCAGTTCTTTTGGATATATACCTAGCAGTGGAATTGCTGGGTCGTGTGATAATTCTACATTTAACTTTTTTTTTTGGTGAGGAAGGTCAGCCATGAGCTAACATCCACTGCCAATCCTCCTCTTTTTTTGCTGAGGAAGACTGGCCCTGGTCTGACATCTGTGCCCATCTTCCTCTACTTTATATGGGACACTGCCACAGCGTGGCTTAACAAGCAGTGCGTTGGTGCGCACCTGGGATCAGAACTGGCGAACCCTGGGCCGCCGAAGTGGAGCGCGCACTAAACCGCTGCACCACCAGGCCGGCCCCTACATTTAACTTTTTGAGGAACTGTCAAATTGTTTCCCAAAGTGGCTGCACCATTTTACATTTCACTAGCAGTATATAAGGGTTCCAGTTTTTCTACCTCCTCACCAATGCTTGTTGGGTTTTTTTTTTCTTTTTTTTTTTAATGATCATCTGAGTGAGTGTGAAGTGTTAATCTCATTGTGGTTTGTTTTGATTTGCATTTCCCTAATGGCTAATTATGTTGAGCATCTTTTCATGTACTTACTGGCCATGTATCTTCTCTGAAGTAATGTCTATTCAGATCCTTTCTCATTTTTTCGTTGGGTTGTCTTTTTTATTTATTTGTAGGAATTCTTCCCGTATTCTAGATACAAGCCCCTTGTCAGATTTATGATTTGCAAAGATTTTCTCCCATTCTTTGGGTTGTCTTTTCACTTTCTTGGTAGTATCCTTTGAAGCACAAACTTTTTAAATTTTGAAGTCCAATTTATTTGTTTTTTCTTTTGTCGCTTTTGGTTTTGGTGTCTTATCTGAGGTCATGAAGATTTAGCTATGTTTTCTTCTAAGAATTTTATAGCTTTAGCTCTTAAATTTAGGTGCAAGTAAAAAAAGTACAAGCCAAAACAAAAAACAGCAAGTTTTGCTATAAATGCTTTACCAATATTAACTCATTCAATCCTCACAACAACCTGTCAGTTTGGTACTGTTATAATCCTCATTTTATATATAGTCATGTGTCGCTTAATGACAGGCATATGTTCTGATAAATGCGTCGTTAGGCAATTTCGTTATTGTGCAAACATCATGGAGTGTACTTACACAAACCCAGATAGTACAGCCTACTACACACCTAGGCTATATGGTACTAATCTTATGGGACCATTGTCGTATATCCAGTCCATCGTTGACGGAAAGATTGTTATTTGGCACATGACTACGGTATGTGCACACTCCAGCATGATTAGTTTAAATAATTTGACCAAGATTATTCAGATAGTTAATGGTGGTCTCAGGATTTGAATGTAGGCAGTCTGGCTCTAGAATATGTGTGTTTAACTGTTGCACACTGCCTTTTTTTGTGGAAAGTATTTTATATTTACTCTGTAAAAAAGTCTTGTACATAATTTGTTGAATTTATTCTAGGTACTTTATTTTTTGTTTATATTGTAAACAGTATTTTTTTGAATTAAGTTTTCAATGATTGCTAATATATAAGAATGAAATAGATATTTCTATAATGTTCTTATATCTAGTAATCTTGCTGAACTGGTATTAACTTGTATTTATCTGAGCTTCTCTAACAATTCTAATTGTTTTCTATATAGACAGTTATATCTTCTGTGATTGGAAGTTTTATTTGTCCTTTTTGATTCCATGTACTTCTCTCAAGGACTTCAGTTTAGTGCTGAATAGAAGCAATAATGGGGGCATCTTCCTCTCATTTAATGGAAGTGCTTCCAACATTTCCTCATTAAAGTATGACTTTCTCTCTAAGTTTTTGATAGCTGCTTCTTCCCAGGTTAAGGAAGTTGCCTTCTGTGTGAGTGAAGGTTCTGTCAAGCAACAAATGTGCCCTCTGTCAGTTTAATAAAAGGACTGTTTACAAAGGTGTGGTCAGAGTTTACGGCCTCCTGCAAGAGATAATGCTTTATCGTCCCTTGGCCAGCAGGGCAAGGAGAGGGAGTGGTTACTGGAACCCAGGGGAGGTAACTTTGTGAGAAGACATGAACTGATAAGGAGGGAACCAGAGAAGTCAATAACCTGACCTAAACTCTTCTCCTACCCTCCAGTCTCTTGTACCAGTAGCAAGAGGGCAAGGGACCCCCATTGTCATGCAGTTGATTCAAGTCAGCTTCTTGGGAAAGGGGAAGATATACAGCATCTTCTCTATTTTTATTTTAAGAAACAGTTTAAAAAATGAATGGATATTGAATATTTGTCAGCTAGCTTTTCTGTATCTATTGAAATGATCATATGAGTTTCTTCCTTTAATCTGTTAATGTGTTAAATGCCATAATACATTTCTAATGTTACGTCACCATTCGTTTTTGTAATAAAATCTACTTGGGGGCCGGCCCTGTGGCTTAGCGGTTAAGTGCGTGCACTCCGCTGCCGGCGGCCCGGGTTCGGATCCTGGGCGCGCACTGACGCACCGCTCCTGCGGCCATGCTGAGGCCGCGTCCCACATACAGCAACTAGAAGGATGTGCAGCTATGACAGACAACTATCTACTGGGGCTTTGGGGGAAAAATAAATAAATAAAACCTTAAAAAAAAAAAAAATCTACTTGGACATGTCTTTTTTGTTTTTTAATAATACACATTACTGGATTTTGTTTGCTAGTGTTTTATTTAAGATTTTTTCCAGCTATGCTCATAAATGAGATGAAACTATTATTTTCTTCACGTGCTGTCCTTGTCTGGTTTTGATGTCAGTTTTCTTTTACTTTCATAAAATGAGTTGAGGAGTATTTCTTTTTTTATTTTGTGGAAGAATTTGTATCAGATAAGGATTTATCCAGAGTTTACACTAGTAAACTTTAATGGTTTTGGATAATTAAGTAGACCATATTTGATGAGAGTTAATTGGATAAGATGTTTTACAAGTTGTTTTTAAAACAAAAATATTTTCCTTAAAGTCTTGACAGAACTTGGCTATAAGTTCATCAGAGCAGCCTGTTGTCTGTCTTTATCTTTGTCTCTTTCTTCCTTTCCATCCTTCTTTTTTCCTTTCATTCTTTTCTTCTTTCCCGAGAAGGGATATATTTTTAACCAATGATTTAGTTTCTTAAATGTCTTGATTTTTTTATTTGTTAATGTGATAGTAAAATATAGTTAGATTATATTTTTATACAAAACTGGCCACTTGCCAAAGTTCTTCATAGTATTTAAAAAAAATCTCTGCTAGTCTAGTTATGACTCCCTTTTTGTTCCTGGTATTGTTTATTTGCTGCCTCTCCCTTTTTCTCGATCAGCTTAGCCACTAGCATTCTTGGAGTGTAATGGTAGGGGAAGGGAGAAGGATGTCAAGGTTTTTACTGTTCAGTATTTAGACTTTTATTTACTCTCCCTGTTTCAGTATAGTGACTCTGTCCTCATGTATGCCTGGTCCCTAAATTCAGAGATCCTTTGGTTCAAGTCTTCAGAGTGGATCTCTGTGAAGCACAAACATCATTGCTCAGCTTAATGCTTTTGGTTTCCTCATTATTTTAGGTCCCTATGAATTTCTTTTTCTTTCTTAGGAGCTCAGCTGTGCATTTAAGAAAATTTTTTATTTGTTATATTTTATCTTACATCTTTACGTAGAAAGTCTGGCATATTGCAGTAAATACCAGTCCTAGTACTTTAAAAAAATATTTAAAATTAGAAGAGAAGGTTTACTTCTCTACTCTTCTGGTTCTTTTATCTTTTTTGCTTATAAACATTTTGTGGACTTCTTTAGGTGAGTTCTTCTATCTTGGTTTTTTTTTTTTTTTGTGAGGATGATCGGCCCTGAGCTAACATCTGCTAATCCTCCTCTTTTTGCTGAGGAAGACTGGCCCTGGGCTAACATCCATGCCCATCTTCCTCCACTTTATATGGCACGCCTGCTACAGCATGGCCTGACAAGTGGTGCATCAGTGCGTGCCCAGGATCCGAACCGGCGAACCCCAGGCTGCTGCAGCAGAGCGTGCGCACTTAACCGCTTGCGCCGCCAGGCTGGCCCCTTCCATCTTGTTTTTATGTCATCGAGAACACTCTGCCCTCACTGTCATTGTGCCGGGAACAGAGGGATGATAAGTACACCCTGCTCTTAATTACCTTGGCCTGGCAGTGACTAATATCACTTCTGCTTACATTTCAATAGGGGGGGCTTGGAAGTACAATGTATCATATGGATATTTGGTGAGTCTCTGCCACACTTGAGTTTATTCTGTAGAATTATGTTGTATGTAACTACTTGACATGAATATGGTTTGACATATATAATTAGAATTCAAATACTAAGATTTTGTAAGCATTTTATACCAGTAAACTTTAATGGTTTTGGATAATTAGGTAGACCATATTTGGTGAGAGTTAATTGGATAAGATGTCTTACAAGTTGTTTATAAAACAAAAGTATTTTCTTTCTCTCCTCCTCCAGGAAAAAAACTAAGACCCTAGTTCCAGGGTGTCTGGACATTTCTATTTCTAATAATTCTACCTAGAATTATTACTGGTTATAAATGAAGGAATTAAATGAGCAATAATTAGACTTAACGTTGAGTTAAAGGATAATTTTTTTTTGAGAAAAGTAAAATCACAACTCCCTTGTAGATATGGACATAGGGACACTGAACATATGGGCGTATGTCCATATGGACACTAAACTCCCCCTTCCCGTGGAGGGAAGTCACTTGAACCTCCTCTGGCCAGAATTTATTTGCATGTCTATGAACAAGAATTATTTGCATTTGCTAAGAGTTATCTACAACTTAGTTGTAAAATAGCACAAGGACAATGAAAGCCTAGAATTAGATAACCGAGAAGACCTTGCTATAAAAGATACATAGTTTTTCATTGGAGACACGCAGTAATCTTTTTTTTGCTGATTCCAAATTTACTTCCAAATTGAAACTCATACCAGATAAATTATGATTCAACAGTATTATTTTATTTGAGAAATATGTATGGCAATTCTAAAACGTTATAAGAAACTAACATGCAAATGTTATATTTCTCTTTGTTTCAGGTTTATGCTGCTGATTGTACTGACCGTGTTCTTTTAGAACTACGAAAATATTTGCCAAAATATTACGGCATCTGGTCACCTCCCACTGCACCAAATGGTAATCTTTTCTTAAAAGTCTGTCTTTTACTCTTAATTCATGAGTGGCTTTTTAAAAGTCTTTATGTAAAATTAAGCCTAGTATTATAAAAACAGAATATACATGTGTTTTTCTTTCTAATCTTTCTCTTCTTCATTAAAGAAAACTTAATGCTTTTGCTTTTTGTAACCAGTTTCTTAAATGGTATATACAAATTAGTGACCAATCTTATAATTGAATGGAAATATATATACTAGTACTTAATACTGTATTAATTTACAGATGTTCTTTTTTCCTAATTTATTGGGCAATTTCTTTTCTCATTTTGAGTAAGAAAAAAAAAATCAAGAAAAATATTCTTTGCATAATTTCCTTCCTATCTCCTATACCACTCCTTCATCCCCTACCTCCAGGCTTTTAAATTGCAGTCTTTTAAAAAATACTGTTAAGTTTCATAGTTAGAGGACAAAATGATCTATGTAAGGGCACACGCACAGCATTTCTCTCTCTTGATGTTAGTTAATACTTGAGGCAGTATTTGCCACTTCACAGCCTTTGACAGAGCAGAAAGAATTTAATTAAACAAGCAGCATGACTGCTTAATGATAGAAGAAGGTTCATGAATGGAGAAGAATTTCAAACTTGATGGAGTTGAAGAATAACCCAAAGCCTTGTTAAAATGCAAATTAAGAGGCTCAACTCCCCGACATTTTGATTATGCAGCTCTAAGTTGGAGTTCAGTGATATGCTTGTTAAATAAAAGCTACAAGTTTTTTTGATGTGGATAGTGCTTGAAGCACATTTTGAGAACGAGAAGAGAAGGGGGCTCCAGTTTGAGCTTGTTCTTTTCCTCAGGTCTTTGTCTTCCTTCTACTCATTCACTTACTTTGCCAAGTTTCATTAATAGAGGATCATGGTATCTCCCTGGGAATTTCCTCAGTTAGGTAATAGTAAATCAATGGTTTTTTAAAAACATGAGCTGAACTTTTTTCTGTCCTCCCTCCCTCCCTCTTTCTTTCTTTTCTCTCTTCCTTCCTTCTTTCCTTTCTTTTTTTCTTTCCTTTCCTTTCTTTCCTCCCTCCCTTCCTTTTTTTCTTTCTTCTACTTGAGTCCCAAGTATATACATCTCTGATTCAGATAAGCATGTTGCTTATTTCACAAATTATTATGATCACCTTTGCTTTATAGAGATTTCCATTATAATGTAAGATATCTAGATTACAGTTAACTTTGCTACTGGTTGCTGTTTAATTTAGAGCAAATCATTACTCCTGAGTAAAGTGACATTGAAAGATTGACAAAGGTTGCTGAGGATAGTGCTAGATTAAACATCTAGATAATTAAATGCTCAGTTTAAAAAGATTGTTTAGAAGGGATAGAATAACTAAGGAAACAGCATCATTATTTTGAAAAGTAGAGTATAAAAGAAAGAATTTGGATAAGAGAAGAAATATTTTAATTTAAAATAACATTTTATAGTTTAGGATTACTAGCACATGATTTAAAAATCAAGGACTTGTAGCAATCAACAGCCTTTTTGGTCTTCAATACTAAATCTTGAGGAACATCTGTGCAAGTATAGAAAGAGCACTGACTTTGAAGTCAAAAGACTTGGCTTGGGGCCAACCCAGCAGCGTAGTGGTTAAGTTCACGTGCTGCGCTTCAGTGGCCTGGAGTTTGCGGGTTCGGATGCCTGGCGCAAACCTACATGCCACTTGTCAAGCTGTGCTGTGGCAGTGTCCCACATACAAAATAGAGGCAGATTGGCACTGATGTTAGCTCAGGGACAATCTTCCTCAAGCAAGAAGAGGAAGATTGGCAACGGATGTTAGCTCAGAGCCAATCTTCCTCACCAGAAGAAAACAAACAAACAAAAGACTTGTCTTCTACCTTGGTTATTTCCAAATTTTGTGAACTTGGCTAACTCATTAACCTTTCTGAGCTTTATTTTTTCTTCTATAAATTGAAAATAGTACCACATAGAGTTGTGAAGATGTGTGTTATATTACATGAGAATGCTTTGTAAACTCCAGTACTCTTATTTGAATATAAGTGGAGATACTGGTGCTACTGAGATGAGAAGATGAGGTGAGGAAAATGAGAGAAGAGAAAAAGTAAATAGAAGGGAAAAAAGGTGGAATAAAAAAGTATACGTGTGTAGAGTGGTCCAGAAATACCAGCAATTGCCTCAAAGAATTTCCTGTTCCCTTCTAATTTTTTTGCTCTGGAAGAAGTTGGACAAAACTGTTGCACCATGCAGATTGTTTAACTTTGATTTTACTAGAGAGTTCATGGAATCATCTTTCTGTTATTATCCTTTTGATTGTAAATGAAAAAAATATAAAATGGGAAACTTTTACACATTTTTTAGCCCACAGAATCATAAAAACAAATATTTTCTTAAATTTTAGTACAATACTATGGTTTGCATTACTTTACACAGTATTATATTAATGACATAATTTATTTCCTTTCCCTTTTTTTTCTCTTCTTATTTGGGCATATTTTCTTATACGCTCAGGGTGGAGTTTTATAAAACTTGATATAGTTCTTATAATCCAATGTAGTAAAATGTAGAAAGAACTGCTAGTTTGCTCAGCACATTATTATAACTTGAGAGAAGCATAAGAATGTGCTGACCAATGGGTTTTTAAAAATTTTTTATGGCAGCTTTATTGAGATATAATTTACATGCCATAAAACTCACTCATTTAAGTGTACAATTCAGTACAAATTCAGTTTTTAGTATATTCATGGAGTTGTACAGTCATCACCATTAGCTAATTTTAGAACATGACCAATTGGATTTTTTTTTTTAAGATAAAACATTTGTTGGCAATTACCTTTAAGATTTTGGGCTAGTTCTATATGTTAAATCTCATTTTTTACCTGTGTATAAACACGTAGATGCCTAGTACATGTACCAGCAAAAGCCTTTTATTGATAGTTTTTTGGAGGAATAGAAAAGTATATCTTCAAGTAGGTTTGAGCAAATTGAGAGTTCTCAGATGTAATCTCCAGCTTTATTGATTGGTAGGTGTCTGGCTCTAGCTGCTAGTCAAGTTTCAGGAAGCACAGACTAAAATAAACTGCCATACATGTCTGTTCCCTCCCTCCTCCTTTACCCCGAATTTGGAGGCTCAAGGTCTCTACATGTGATTCCTTCTACTTTCAGCTTCTGTTGCTCTCAGAAATGGCTGATGATTGATAGGGAAAGCAGAAGCAAGGCCTTCTCTGTTTTTCCATTTGGCTTCATAATTGGGCAGACGTTCCCCACTTGGCCTTTTCTCCTTTTTGAGAGGTTCAGAAATGAATATGGTAGCCAATACCTAGTAGACTTTATAGATATGGTGGGGAAGAGCTTGATGAAACTTGGAACCCATATTCTCATAATTTATACAATGAATAATATCCATTAAGGGGATCTAAATGAGTCTTCCTTCAACTCCCTAAATGCCCTCTCCCTTGTCTTTCCTTTAAAGGAACTAGTGTCCTTTGTTATCCATTCCGTGGCATTGCCTTATAAGTGAGGCTCCCTTGTGGAAAAATGCCTTTGATCATTTAAATTACTGAATTTCAAGATTGACCTACTTCGAATTAGGCTCTGTTCTAGTGAAACAATTTGCTAATAGCATTTTTCAGAGAGAATTTGTGTTAACAGTTGTCATCACTAGAAAAAAATCTAAACACAAATTCTTTACTATTTAGTTATTTGTATGTCTTTTGATTTTTCCACAATATTTCAAATGTTTTTATTTTCTCCTTTGATATTGCGGAATTTTCTGCCTCTCTTAGAGTGTCAGGACTGTATTTCAGCAGTAGAAATTTTGCTATAGGAATTTTTTGTTTAATGTGTTATAAAACAATGTATATTTAATTTATATTTAAGATAATAATATTTAATTATATATATTTAAATAGAAAATATATTTAAAATAGAAAAGCTTCCTTCATTCATAGTGACCTTGTGTAATCTTATGCTATCATCAACAGCATGAAGTATATAAATATTTTGAGCATGCTAACCATTTGGTAAAGCCATTGAGAATCTTACTTAATAGGCTGCTTATAACAGCACGAAGTGGTATATATGTTTTGGAATACCTGGTAGTTATTCTCAGGATCTTTACCTCAAAAAATTAAGGAACTATAGAAATTCTATATATGCTTTCCATAAATTAGTAGATAATAGATTTATCTTTTGTGGACATAGCCTCTTAAACTTAACTGTATTTCTCTTCAGTGTGACCTCTTGTAATGAGCTCCATGTATTTATGAAAAGTAGATGTCCTTTTATTTGTTATACAAATACCAAGACTTAAGCTTTACAGAATACTATCTTAGATTCACAAATGCCGGTCCTTGAACCTCTGACAGATGGGCTTCATCAGAATCTGTTGTCCTAAATAGAGCTTTTCAGAGTTTAAAAAAGTAAGTCTAGTTATTATCCTATCTATCTTTATAGTTTATACACACACAAATACACACGTGCAAATATATGTGTTTATATGTAAAAATTAGCTCTTTTCATTTTTTTAATATTCTAAATTCTGTCTTTACTTGCAAGTTACATCATGTCAAGTAATCATATCATAATTATTTTCCAAAATCGTATTAATGTGGTTTATTTCCTTGACCTTGTCAGAATGAACCTAAACTATTCCAGGTAGAACATTTATCTTATTCTTAGTCTGTCAGATTTTTGGATGAGTTTTAGAATGTATTATCTGTTTACCTAAAAATTGAAAAATACTGCTCTGCTCTACCCAGAGGGGCCTAGCTGAAAAAGTGTCCTTTGTTATCCATTCCGTGGCATTGCCTTATAAGTGAGGCTCCCTTGTGGAAAAATGCCTTTGATCATTTAAATTACTGAATTTCAAGATGGACCTACTTCGAATTAGGCTCTATTCTAGTGAAATAATTTGCTAATAGCATTTTTCAGAGAGAATTTGTGTTTAGATTTTTTTCTAGTGATGACAACTGTTAAAAAAAATCAGTAAAGATCTCAGTGCTCAGATGATTTCCCCATTTTGTTTTCATCTGGCAGTTACTTCAGTACTAGTATGTTTGTCTATTACTAATTAAGGTTTTTCTTTAATAACAGATTTATACCTAAAACTGGAAGATGTGACCCATAAATTTAATAAGCCCTGTATAATGGATGTAAAGATAGGGCGAAAAAGCTATGATCCTTTTGCCTCATCTGAGAAGATTCAGCAACAGGTTGGCAAGTACCCATTAATGGAAGAGATTGGGTTCTTGGTCCTTGGCATGAGGGTAAGAGTGATTATTAGTGTAATACACACATTTTTCTTTACATGTTCTTCCTTTGAAAATTATGGATGTCTTTATACTACTAATATATTGGAAGATAATATATTTGGAATTGGGTTGTCCATAAGTCCCCAGTGAGAGCAGAGATTTTTATCTCTTTTGTTCACTGATAATATGGTCAGTGTCTGGAATAATTCTGACATATAATATGTGATTAATAAGTAAATGAATCAATGGCTGAACTTCAAGACTCTGACTGGTAATTTTGTTTTAAACAAGCTTTATGTTTAGGTGCAAAATAAATAACGTGGTAAGTAAATATGATATTACTTATGATTTTCCCATAAGAAAAGTGCTAAGTTTGTATATTCAGTAAGTTTTCTATATTTTAAAATAGAAAAGGTAAGTTAAAAATTAGATCACTGTTTCAGACTGTAGTTTACAACAGTTATTTTATTTGCTCTTGATTCTGTGGTTTGGCAGTTTCACCTGGGCTCCATTGGACAATTCTGCTGATCTTACCTAGGGTCCCTCCTGTGGCTGCACTCATCTGATGGCTCAGCTGGGGCTAGATGGTGGAAAATGCTCGTTCTCATGTGTGAGAGTTGGTACTAACTGTTGACTGGGCCTTTTTCCATGTGGTCTCTCATCTTCCAGAAGGCTAGCTGGACCTTCTTCACGTACCACATTCCAAGAAGGCGAGAGTGGGAGCTCCAGGGCTCTTGAAATCTAGGTTAGGAAGTCACTCACGGTCACTTCTATGGAATTTTATAGATCAAAGTATATCACAGGACCAGCCCATATGATAGGGAGGAAAAATAGACTCCACTTCTGATGGTGGCAATAGGGAAGTCACAAGAGAAATGACAGTGTGCACAAGAATGGGAAGGTTTGTTGAGGCCGTCTTTGCAAACAATATACCGCAGTTAAGAAGTAAAGTGGAATAAAATCCTCTAAACAAATGGTATGTCTTCTGGATGTATGGAGGTAAAATCTGTGTATATGACAAATGACTGCTTACCTATATAAGCATAATGGGTAGTTTTGAAATTCATCATGTACGGTGATATACGTGTCTTCCTTTTGAGTTTTAAACAGGAGAGTTAATAGGAGGAGGCATTATAGATGAATTGTTTATGTGATGGTTGTAACAGCACAGTTGAATTTGGTATTCTGATTGTAAATAAAACTAAAGAAATTGTTGATACAGTTATTTCATTTTAGAAAATGGTAATTAAATGTGGGCATATGGTAAAGAGAAAAAGGGTAATAGAATAATGTTAAAACAAACAAGGAGTAAACATCCCACAGGAATCAGACTGGGCAACTGTTAAACAGACCTTTACTGTTTCAGATCTCTTACCCTCCCACTGTCCTCACTTTTAGCAGATGACTTTGCTTTCTGCTTCACAAAAAATAAAAGCCATCAGACAGGATTTCCTTTAATTTCCTGCCAACAGATGTACATACCTAACCTGCAAGTGCTTTCATTCCCTCTTTATTCCTTCCTGTCACATTGAGGAATTTTCCCTCCTCCTGTCTCAGGACAGCCCTTCTCGATGTCCTCTGGATCTCATTCCCTCCCACCTCTTCAGAAACCTTTAGTACTATTGATTCTGTCGTCCTTCTTATATTTTCAACTTCTGTCTCTCTTTACTGACTCTTTTCCTTTTGCCGTAAATATGTTCAAATCACTCTCAATTTTTTAAAAAACGCAACATCAATACCCACTTTTACCCTACCGTGTTCTCCAGCGGTAATTTAATTTGCCTCTCTGTCACAACCGTATTAGTTATTTCCATTGCCTTACTTCCTACTCAGTATTCTTTAGTCCATTCCAGTATGGCTTCTGTTCCATCATGCCACCGGATTGGCTTCTGTCTAAGGTCCCTAGTGACATCTCCATGTCACTAAATTCAAATGGCATTTTTCATTACTCAGCTTACTTCACTTTGAAAAGCAGCCTTCAAGGCTGACTGGGTCCTCCTTGAAACATTCCTCTTTTTGTCCATGATACTACACTTTTTTCCAAAGGCCATTTTGCAGTTTTCTTTGCCAGCTGGTTTTTCTGTTTATTGTTTAAATGTTGAGATAGTCTGCTCAGTTCCATTTTACTGCCTCCCACTCTTTTCTTTCTGTTTCTTCCTAAGCAATGTCCTTTGTTCTCGTTGGTTCAGTTTCACTTACGTTGATAACTCCCAAATGTATATCTTCAGTCTCTGCTTTGTCTTTGATCTCCCAATCCGTACAGCTAACAGCTTTCTACACATTTTACTTAGATAACTGAAAGACATCTAGGACTGATACATAAAAAACTGACACGCACGGCCCTCTTGCAAACTAACAACCACACAATAGCGACAAATCTCTATTATTCCCTATCTCAATAAATGGCATCACTATTAAATCCAGTTTTACAAACTAGAAACCTTGTAGTCACCATCACCTCTCAGAGGTCTTCATCAATCCTGTTGATCTTAATTCCCAAACATCTCTTGAGTCCCATTATCACCATTATCCATCTCTAGACTCTAGTATCTTAACTGATCTCTCAGGTTCAATTTTGCTCTCTTTTAATCTGTTCTTCAGACATTGCAAAATGCATATCTAATCAATACATTCCCCTATGTAAAAACTCTTTGGTGTGTTTCCGTTGCCTTTAGGATACATATACAGGATAAATAAATAAGGCACTGCATGACTTTGCTCTCCTGGGAAGTGTCATTTCCCCAGACAAATAGAGGGTCGTCTGTTTGTATTTTTTTGTGTGTGTGAAGAAGATTAGCCCAGAGCTAACATCCGATGCCAGTCCTCTTTTTGCTGAGGAAGATTGGCCCTGGGTTGACATCTGTGCCCATCTTCCTCTACTTTATATGGGACACCGCCACAGCATGGCTTGACAAGCGGTGCGTTGGTGCACGCCCGGGATCCGAACCTGTGAACCCTGGGCCGCTGAAGTGGAACGTGCACACTTAACTGCTACGCCACCGGGCCGACCCCTGTTTGTACTTTTTTAATAACAACTTTATCGAGATACAATTTATTTGCCATTTGGTTCACTCATTTGAAGTGTATAATGCATTGGTTTTAGTATACTCAAAGAGTTGGACAACCATCACCACGTTCAACTTGAGAACATTTTCATCACCCCCAAAAGAAATGAGGTACCTATTAGCAGTCATTCCTCATTTTCTTCCAACTTTCCAACCCTCCTAGCCATAGGCAATCACAGATCTACTTTCTGTCTCTTTATATTTGCCTCTTCTGGACATTTCATGTAAATGGAATCATACAATCCAATAGGTGGTCTTTTGTGACTGGCTTCTTTCACTTAATGTTTTCAAAGTTCATCCATGTTGTAGCATATATCAGTATTTTATTCCTTTTTATTGCTGAATAATATTCCATTGTATGGATATATCACGTTTTATTTATCCATTCATTTATTGATGGACTTTGGATTGTTTCCACTTTTGGGCTATTATTATTAATGCTATTATGAACATTCATGTGCAAGTTTTTGAGTGCATATATGTTTTCATTCTGAGTAGATTCCTAAGTTTGAAATTGGTGGGTCCTATGGGTAAGTTTAACTTTTGTAAGAAACTGCCTAAGTGTTTTTCCAAAGTTTCTGCACTATTTAACATTCCTACCAGCGATATATGAAGGTTCCAATCAATTTCTTCACATCCTCACTCAACCCTAGTTACTGTCTTTTTTCTTTCACTGTAAGCCATCCTAGTGGGTGTGAAGTGGTATTGCCTTGTAGTCTTGATTTGCATTTCCCTAATGGCTGATAATGTTGAGCATCTTTTCATGTGCTTGTTGACTATTTGTATATCTTATTTGGAGAAATGTCTATTCCAATTCTTTGCCCATTTTTAAATTGGGTTATTTGTCTTTATATTATGGAGTTATATACATATCCCTTATCAGATACATGATTTGCAAATATTTTCTCCCATTCTGTGGGTCGTTCTTTCATTTTCTTGATAGTTCTGTTAACGCACAAAAGTTTTTAATTTTGAAGTCTAATTTATTTTTTGCTTTTGTTACTTCTGCTTGTGGTGTCACAGCTAAGAAACCATTGCCTAACCTGAACTCATGAACACTTACTCCTATTTTTCTTCTAAAAATTTTATAATTTTATCTCTTACATTGAGATATGTTATACATATGAAGTTAACTTTTTGGGTGTGGTTTGAGGAAGGGGTCAAACATCATTCTTTTGCATGTGGATATCCAGTTGTTCCAGCACCCTTTGTTGAAAAAACTATTCTTTCCCTCACTGAATGGTCTTGACACCCTTCTTAAAAATAAATTGACCATTGGGGCCAGCCCGGTGGCGAAGCAGTTAAGTTCATGCACTCCGCTTTGGTGGCCCGGGGTTCACAGGTTTGGATCCTGGGCGTGGACATACGCACCACTTGTCAAGCCATGCTGTGGCAATGTCCCATATAAAGTAGAGGAAGGTGGGCACGGATGTTAGCCCAGGGCCAATCTTCCTCAGCGAAAAGAGGAGGATTGGTATCGGATATTAGCTCAGGGCTAATCTTTCTCACAAAAAAATAAATAAAAATAAAAAAATAACTTGACCATAAATGTAAGAGTTTATTTCTGGACTCTCAATTCTGTTCTGTTGATCCATATTGTCTATCTTTATGTCAGTACCACACTGTCTTTTTTTTTTTAATTTCAGCTCTATCGAGGTATAATTGACATATAAAATTGTAAGATATTTAAAATTTTAAAGTGTACATTGTGGTGATTTGATATATTTATACATTGTGAAAGGATTCCCCCTATCTAATGAATTAATACATCCATCGTCTCACAGATTTATCTTGTTTTGTGTGAGAGAACATTTAAGTTCTATTTTCTTAGCACATTTCAATTATACTGTACAGTGCTATCAACTATAGTCACCATGTTTTACATTAGATCCTCAGACTTTATTCATATTATAGCTGAAAGTTTGTACCACTTTACCAACCTCTCTCTAT